CCTGGCCAAAGAGTGCCCAGGTAGACCTCGCAACCTCAGGGGGTCGAACTATGATTGGGACCGCATCTGCGCTGGCAAGCACCCCGAATCATCGGATGCCTGGCTTGCTGTGGATGCTAACAGCGTGATGCGCCTCGTTAGTGTTTCCTGAGGCCGTCTTTCGGCCCCGCCTCTCGGTCTCGTGCTGCGGGGGCGTGGCCCTGATTGACGGCGCGCTGGCATGTACGCGCGCCTGTGCCGGCGTCCAGGTGCCGTGCTCGACGGCCGCCTGGCTCCCAGAGTTCAGGCCTGCTGCGGGATGCCGTGGGGGAGCAGCGCAGCGGTGAAATCCTCCTCTTTCTCCTCCTCCTCCTCCTCCTCCTCCTCCTCCTCCTCCTCCTCCTCCTCCTCCTCCTCCTCCTCCTCCTCCTCCTCCTCCTCCTCCTCACTCCTCACTCCTCACTCCTCACTTCTCACCGCCCAGCCGAAAATCGCCCTGGGTGGAGGCGGCGCTGAACAAGCGAAGGCGGCACGTGAAGGGCCAGCATCCCAAGTGCGACGAGAGTGCGACGTTAGTCGCGAGCTGGCCGGTTCCCCGTCCAGCGCTCAAAACATCGGTGCCCACGTTTTTATAGCCCTGCACATGGCTCTGCTTTTTGCTCGCTTGCTCCCTCGGGCCCATTTCGCAGGAGGAGGGAAACTTCTTATTTCTCCCTCCTCCCCCTACCTCCTCCCTCCTCCGCCCTCCGCCCTCCATTGTTCCTCCCTCCCTCCCCCCCCCCGCTCCTTCGCGGCCCGCCTCCTCGGGGGTTCCTGGGCCCCCTGCATGGGGGCGAACGGGGGGAGGCTCCCGGGGGGAATAGCACGCAGGGGGCCCTTGGAGGCTCTGCCATTGCTTGAGGTTTTCTGATGTCTTTGATGCACTTGCGCGCTCGTATTCGACTGAGGAGGGGCGAGGGGGATGGGGGGGAGGGGGGGAGGGAGGAGGGGCGAGGGGGGAGGTGTGAAGGAGGAATGGGGGATGAGGAAGGAGGAGGGAGGGAGGGAAGGAGGGGGGGAGGGGCGGAGGGGCGGAGGGGCGGATGGAGGGACGGGGGGAGGGATGAGGAAGAGGCGGCGGAGGAGGAGGAGGAGGAGGCTGGGGTGGGGTGGTGGTGGTGGTGGTGGTGGTGGTGGTGGTGGTGGTGGTGGTGGTGGTGGTGGTGGTGGTGGTGGTGGTGGTGTGTGATTGTGTGATTGTGTGATTGCGTGATTGTGTGATTGTGTGATTGTGTGATTGTGTGATTGTGTGATTGTGTGATTGTGTGAGTGTGTGAGTGTGTGACTGTGTGAGTGTGTGTGTGTATGTGTGTATGTGTGTGTGGGGGGGGGGGGAACGCCATGCGAGTAGTAAACTTGCCTGGGGCCTGAAGAGAAACAGGCGCCCTGAGGTCCTCCATGCCCCGGGGGCCGCATGCCCTGCGCCCCGCGGAGGGGTCTCCTGGGTGTCCCGCCACGGCCGTCGGAGGCGCGAGTTGACTGGGCCGGAAAGCGGCAGGGGCAACGTAAGGGGGGGGGGCCAGATCAGGGTTAAGTCGGGCCTGTCCCTCTACAGGAGGCATATTCAAACATAGTCAACAAAATAGTACGGGGAGTATTCTTTGACCATTTGGGGGCATTTTTTGACAATTTTTTTTTTCGTCGAAGATCCCCCCTGTAGGAGGACAGGCCCGACTTAAGATCAGGGGGGGGGAGACTCAGAGGAGGAACAGGTGCCCATACCTCTACCCTTCCTTCGTTTCCCCCTTTCTCGGCCTCCTGGGCGGCCCTCGTCGCCACCGCCGGATTCGCCCCGGAGTCCTGGTCAGAACGCGCCCCGGGAGAGGTCTGGGGAGCAGTGGCATCAGTATTTTTTGGTTTCCCCAGAAGCATGAGCCCCTGTTTGCCCATTCGTCGCTTACTTGGGCCTGCCCGCCCACTCCCGCCATCCCGCCAGAAGCGTGCGCTCTCGTTATCGAGGGCTTGCCGGCGACGCTGAGTACAGGTCGACGCTTCTCCACCTGAGCCAGTCCCCCCCCCGAATCCTTCCTTCCGCGTCGAGTGGGACCTGGAGTCGGGAAGCGACCGGGCGGATTGGCAAGGCCCTGGGTTTGCGCACAGGCCGCCCCCCGTGGAGGCGCAGTCGGGCCGCTCGGGAGGCCCCCCCCCCTGCAGGTTCGAGGGTCTTCCCGCCGCGCCGAGCAGCGACATGAGCGACGCGAGAAAGCGGGGTCGTCTGCGCCCACATTGGCGCGTATGCTCCCCGCGTAAGGTCGCGCGTAGGCGCCCTGGTCTCCAGTGTAGCGTACCGCGCCGGCGGCCCGCGTAAGCCGCCGCGTGAGGTCGCTGTGCCATCTCGCGCAAGACCCGTTTTTGATCGTCGCTCGTATGACGCCTCGCGCCCTCTTCGTGCCTGGAGCACGGGCCTCCCCGGGGAGGCGCGGGGCCGTTTGCACGTCCTGCAGGCAGTCCCGACATGCAGCCCCGGAGATGGCCTCCCACGGGCTCCCGTAGGGTGGCCTCCAGGGTTGTCTCGGCTCCCCCGCGCCGCCTCCTCCCTGCCTCCCTCCCTCCCTCCCTTCCTCCTCCTACTCCCCTCCTCCTCCTCCTCCTCCTCCTCCTCCTCCTCCTCCTCCTCTTCCTCCTCTTCCTCCTCCTCCTCCTCCTCCTCCTCCTCTGCGCCTCCTCTGGGTTGGCTCCCCCGCGTTCCCTCCTCGGCCTCGAGAATGACAGAACCCCTGGCCAGAATAACACAAACAAGGAGGACGTGGCCTCACCTCTAGGTGACATCGCTCTGGGTGCTTGGGCCCGATGCGCCTGCTGAAACGAACACCCCTATCCCTCATGCCGTTGGGCCTCTTCACTCGGGTCCGCTCCCAAAGGGTTCAGGGGGTCTTGTTTACCCGAGTGGCCTGCGCCATTCCGCCGACCTCCCCGGAAGCAACGTTACGACTGCTTGCGACCATCCTTGAAACTGCCTTGTGCGTCAGGAGCTTCTTGGATGCATTTGATGGGGCTCGTGGGATGCCTCTCATGGGCCTCTCGGAGGGCTCCTGGGGGCAGCTGGCTGGGGGGCCTCCCAGGGGGGGCCTCCCAGGGGGGGCCTCTTGGGGACCCCGCTGGGGGCCTCTCGGGGGCCTCCTGGTGGGCGCCTCGGGCCTGCTCCCAGAGGGTTTTGAGGGGCTCTTGCCGGTGCCGATCGCCTTGGCATCGACGCCCTCGGGCCGCCCCTCGGAGCCTTGCCTCTGCCCCCTCCCCCCCCCCTCTCCCTCCTGCCCGCCGCCCCTGCGCGCCCCGCGCCCGATGCGTGGAGGCCGCCCCCGGGACGGGAGCGCGAGGTCTCCGCTTATGATGCTCCAGCCTACTGTAGCCTTGACTTGACCACCAGAAAGAATTGCGAGCGCCAAAAAAGTACCGAAACTTCAGGGTTTTCACGTGTCGAGCAGGCCCTGGGAGACACTCGCCCGACGCTGTTTCGACACTCGTTTGACACTTTTTCGGGTGCTCGAAATTATGTCTGGGATGTGGTCCTTGAGTAGGATGGGAACAACATAAGCCTCCGCCTGGTATCGTCACGCACACTTCGGCGGCGAGCGAGGGGGGCAATGAGAGGCTTTGGGAGTCGAGGTGTGGGGTTTCGGGGCGTTCTCGTCGGTGCTCGGCGGCTTCCCACCCTCGGGATGCGTGCCAGCAGCGCCGCCTCGCCGAGAGCGTTCCGTGGGTGCCCGGATCCTTCCGGGCGGCCGCCGGGGGCCCGAGACATGACCCGACAGCCAATTTCGGCGGCGCGCCGAAGGGGTGAAGTGAGACGGAGAAGGCCTTCCCAGCTTAGCTGCCTCGATCCGCACGTTTCGATACGCAACACGTGCCGTACTCAAGACGTCCGTGCCAATACGTTGCGTGTCGGCTCCACATAGTGGAACACGCTTTGGCGAATGTATCGCGTCGGACCCACGTATATTCAGGATACGTGTTGAGCTCCGTATCAATACGCTACGTGCTGCGTGTTGCGTATCGGGGCGGCTAAGCTTCCTAGAAGGCGGCGGGACTTCTCAGAAGCCCCCGCGCCGTCTGAGAAGTTGTCTGTGTCTCCGGGGAAGGTTCAGAACACTTCTCGGAAGGCCAGGGGGCTTCCGAGCATTCTGAGAAGGCCCGCCCCTTCTCACTTCCCCTTCCTCGCTCGCCACCGAGTACTACAACCCGGAAGTCTTGATGGCACAATGAGTGCGTTGCCCAGCTCGAGTCCGTGGCCCAGCTCGGTTCCGAAACGTGTGGATGGTTTCGTCTGAGACGTTTGCAGACCAACAAACCCCAAGGTTGGTAATGGGCAGTGGGAGTCAGCCTTGTGGGGGTCAGGAAGAGGTGATCCCAATTCCTCGGACTGTTCTTGATCGGGACCGTGCATGTTTTAAAACTATGTGTCGCCGCGCCGGTTGTTCCAACGTGCGGCCCCATGCCTTGGGGAGAGCGCCTCGGCCACCAGGGCAAACTCCGCCTCGGAGTCAGAGCTGGCCGTAGGTATGCCATGGCGTTGGTTTCGTTTACTTAGGCGCGGTTCGTTTACTTGGGCGCGACATGTCTTCATGTGTATTTCCTGCTGCGATTCCTTGAGTAATTCTCGGCCCGTGCCCAAATCGAAGCACATGTTTTCCTCAGTTTGTCCTTCGCTGACTCTGACCCCCAGGACCCTGATTAGCAGGCGGACGCACAAGAAAGACGCGCGTTTGCAGTTCTCGTCGTGGGCTCCGGGAGTGAGGAGGAGGAGGAGGAGGAGGGGGAGGAAGCGGAGGAGGAGGAGGAGGAAGGGGAGGAGGAGGAGGAGGAGGAGGAGGAGGAGGAGGAGGAGGAGGAGGAGGAGGCGCGTCGCGCCAGCCCTCGCGTCACGATGCTGGTCTCGTTCACGGGGGGGTCGCATCCGTGTGCGTGCGTGGCTGGGCGCGCCTGCCCACAGCACGTCCATGCTGGGCTCCCTGCCCAAGCCACCCTTTGGGGCACTGCTTGAGGAGCTTGGCGCCTACCTGGCGAACAAGTCCGATGAGCAGGACCGGGCCGCGGCCCTGGACTGCGTCAACGAGGTGCTCAGCATCACGAACAACTACTGGGAGCTCAAGAACATGACTCACCTCCTGCTGGACCTGGACACCAAGGAGCACGTGTTCGACAAGACCTCGCGCGACAACGAGTTCGTCATGGCCGGGCTCAGGTTCGCGGACAAGCTCATGCGGCACGAGGAGTGCCTCCGGGAGTTCGACGTGAAGTCCGAGCTGGAGGGCCGCTGCGTGGCCCTCTACGCCAAGATATCGGTGCTGAAGTACAAGAACGCGGGCATGCTCCGGGAGGCCATGGACGTGTTCCGCAGGGTCACGTCCTTGGCGTGGGAGGGCGCGGAGCGGTCGTACGCTCCCGGCGAGGCGGTGCCCTGGGACGACTTCGCGCACACGCCGCAGATCATCCTGGAGAGGGGAAACTGGCACAGCCACACACTTTGTCGGAGAGCTCCGTGCGGATTTCTTGGATCGGGGCTGCCCCCCCCCCCCCCTCCCTGGCGCGCTTGGCGCGCCAGGGTCGGCGCCGGAGGCGCCGCCAGGGGGGGGCCCGCGCCGATCCGAGAGATCTGCGCGGAGCCTCAGCAGTTTGTGCTTCTGCCTTTTTGTCCTGCTTCTGTCGTCGTCCGCGGGCTTCGCAGCATGCCCATGTGGGGCCGCGAGACGTGGCACGACCTGCCGATTTGCAAGCAGCTGGAGGACGGCCGGGGAAGGCGCAGGCCTGCGAACGCGCGCGGGCGTCCGACATGGTGACTTCACACCGCGGCTCAGCGGAGGCCTGGACTGATTCCATTCCGAGCCGTTTTCTAACTTGGCATCGCGGACGTGTGCGTGTTTGTGCTAGGCGAGGAGCATCTTGGATCGTCTTGCGGAGAAGTGCCTGCACGAAGCCGACAGGCGCACGGGGAATGGACGTGCGAGCGGCGGCAAGTCCATGGCACCGCTCCCGGACAAGGGACCCCAGAGGCTGGAGCTGGAACCGAGGACCGTGCCTCGTGACCTTGCCACGGCGCGAGGATGTCGGGGCAGAGGCAGTCCTCCGGTGGTGCAGCAGGCATGCCACGTAAGACACTGGCCTGCCGACCTGTGCTCTCGATGAGGCCGCAGAGGCTCCGAGTACCTTCAAGGAGGGGAAAAACACGGGCACAAGTCACCGTCGACTCCCACGACAATATAGGACCATATGGGAAGTGGGGGGGAAGACGAAGACCAAGAACATATGGGAAAAATAGTGGGAATCCTGGGGATTTGTGTGTGTGTGTTTGTCTATTTCGGTGTGTGTCCCAGGGCCCCTTTTACCTTGCCCGTAGAAGGGCTAATGGCGATGTAGGTAGCGGCGGTGTAGGTCTCGGTGTTGTGGAAACGAGTGGTTCGCGCACTCATGCAATTCGCTGTTTCGTGTTCGCTCGATCCATCCCCAGATTGGAAATGCAGGTAGGTGTGGTTCGTGATGTCCAACAATCTGGTTTCCAACATCACCGTTAAGCAACATCGTCGTTAGCCCGGCTTTGCCTCGCGCAGCTCGGAGTAGACGAGGGACGAAGAGGGCACGTTCTGCCTGCTGCACGGGTTGGACCGAGGGAGATCGGCCACGCGCAGAAGCAGCGGGGGCCCATGCCAAGAGACACCCTGCTTGCCTCCAGGGCTTTTAGTGGGCCCTGGAAACGACAGGGCCGTTTTTTTACCGGTTCCGTTTTGCCGTTTTTGTTGCCGGTTCCGACACCGTTTTTTCACCGGTTCCGTCGCCGTTTTTTGACCGGTTCCTGCTCCGGTTCCAATCCTGGAGCCGTTTTTGTTGCCGTTTCGGGTCGCCGTTTTTTGCCGTTTCCATTTTGAGGGGACATCTTTTTGGAAACGGCCCTGTCGTTTCCGGGGCCCACAAAGCTCCAGGGTACCTTGGGTTTCTTGGGTTTCGATGGTTTTTCTATGGAAAGCGTGACGCTCCCGCACCAAAACTCAACGGACGTCCTGGGGCCTCAGGGTTGGGTTTCTTGCGGAAGGCTTCTCGCGGTCGGGCCCCTTGCTGCGAGGCCCGCGCCTTCTAAGGAGCAGCCTTCTTTCAAGAAGCCGGCGCCCTCCCCCTCTCTCCCCTTGTGCGCGCCGCCAAGTATAAGATCGGGGTCGGTTCTGGGAGGGTACCCCAGTGTTTTTCGTGCGTTCGATGATCTCATGCATCCTGGGGGCGGGCATTTTCGAAGAATGTTCAGTTTGGCTGGCGGAGGGTACCGTTTTCTTGACGCATGTCTTTCTGTCTTAGGTCCGGCTGCACTTACTTCTAGAAGACCAGCTCCTGAGGCCTTTGCAACATACCGTTCTCATTTGCTAGCCGCAAGCGTCTGCAACCACGTTGGGTGCCATTACGTCTATAGGCACTTTGGGTGTCGTCATTCATTTAGACACATCTGGGGGATGGGAGTCTGGA